GGGGCGGGGCGCGGGGCGCGTAGCTTCTCTGTCGTGCGGACCTGGAGACCCGGCTCTGTGACTCCTTGAGCCTGATTGGGGACTTCGCGCGCAACTGCTCAGGCGTCGGGTTCTCCTGCTCCAGGAGGAAGGTGGCGGGGTGACTAGAGGGCATTGACCTGGGGTCCCCTGCAGTGCCTGTTACATCCCGCTCTGTTGGGTGATCCTAGACAGCAGCCCATCCGCGCCACGCCTCGGTCTCCTTATCTGCAGCACCAAGGGTTTGGACAGGATGCTGACCCGGCTCACTGTGGTGGACAGAAGGGCTGCTGGGACTCCCACGCCTGAATGCCTATTCCTACTTCTGCCTTTTCCATCCTTCTGGTGTGGGTTACGTCGCCTGGCCTGAGTTCCAGCCGCCACATTGGCATTCATTTTTTCATTCATCAGTAAAAGTTTTTTCACAGTAAAAGTTTTCGGGCATCTTCTACAGCCAGTCACTGGCCTGGGGACCACATTCGTGATCAGGAGAGACGCTGCCTTGCCTGCTTGAGGTTCACAGCCTCAAGGAGAACGACGAGATGCAAGTTTACAAGTGAACTATCAGTTGTGACACCGCATGGGGAGTCTGAGATGGAGCACTGGCAATGCTAGCGTTTATTGAGTGCTGATTGTTTACCAGGCACTGAACTAGACCCTCTGCCTAATTGATCTCAATGAATCTCCACAACAGTTTGAGTTGATTTCATGAATGTCTCTGCTTTGCAGATGAGGAAACTGAGGCACAGAGGAGTTAAGTAGCTTACTAAAGTGACAGCCGTGTCTAACCCCAAAGCCACTCTGCATGGATGAGGGTCAGGGTGGCTGCCTGAAGGAGACCAGTGGATGCTTCATATGCAAGTGGCCCTCATGGAATTGGCTGTGCATGGCAACGCCTGGCATATGGCAGGCATTCCACCAGTAGTGGTATGGCCACTATTTTAGATCCTTGCAGCTTCTGCCTCTTTGGTGGGGAGGAGGGTAAAGTCTGTGAGATCAGAAACAAGATGGCATGGTCTTGCTGCCCCCATTTCTGGCCCGTGGGAAGAGGAGACAGATCCTGTGCGGGTTCCATGTAGGCACAGGCTCTTTCAGAATGT